CAGGGACTCCCCCCCCCATACGTCCTGCACGCTCCCAGGTTCCCTCAGACTCTGGAGCAGCCTTGGCTTGGCACTCACATGTTGGCCTCGGGCGTGTCCTGCAGCGGAATGAGTAGATACGTAATTTCCTGAAATGTATACAATGCATTGGTCAGAGAGATGTGGAGGTCTTATTGTCCCTAGCGCTGCCCACTCTGCAAGGACTCCTCTCCTTTTGTGTTTTAGTTACTGCTTCCTTCTCTCAACCCTGGCTTTACAGCAAAGCAAGTACGCCCCCACCCGAAAACACTTCCAGAGGCCATGGAGCAATGTCCGCTGTCTGGGAATGCAGCCCAAGGACTGAGCGATCAGGGAAGGAAATGGATGACTTCCGACAGCGATGGGATAAACAGACGAGGACACTGTGATCTCCCACTAGGGCTGAAGGGCCGACAGTCTCTGATCATTTTGCTTTCAGATCATGGAACTCTAGGATTTGGGTGCGATAGACACAGGAAGGCCCATTTTCCAGGCGGAAAGAGCAGCCCGACTGTTGAAGAGGGGGTCGCTGTCCCTGTGGCTGTTCTTCTTGAGGGAGGAGGAAGGTGTTAGGGGCGACCGATGCAGGGGGCGATGTTCGGGGCTTAGGTACCTACCTGCAGCAGTGGCTGGGGAGATTCATGGATTGAAATAATATGGGTGATCTTATTCCTGCTCAGTTGCTCCACGTCTTTGGCATCTGACAGAAGGAAAAGTACAACAAGATGTCCGTATGCCCTTTGTTCTTACCCGCCCACAAGCGCGCCTGCCACACTGCTGCAGACAAAGAAACCTGCACACGCCTAGCTGCATAGGAACACACAGCTGCATTATATAGACACACAGAGACGGGTGCCCATACACACACCAGGGCTACGTCTACACTGGCATGATTTTCCGGAAATGCTTTTAACGGAAACGTTTTCCGTTAAAAGCATTTTTGGAAAAGCGCGTCTAGATTGGCAGGATGCTTTTCTGCAAAAGCACTTTTTGTGGAAAAGCGTCCGTGCCAATCTAGATGCGCTTTTCCGCAAAAAAGCCCCAATTGCCATTTTCGCGATCGGGGCTTTTTTGCGGAAAAGAAATCTGAGCTGTCTACACTGGCCCTTTTGCGCAAAAGTCTTTCGGAAAAAGACTTTTGCCCGAACGGGAGCAGCATAGTATTTCCGCAAGAAGCGCTGATTTCTTACAGTAGGAAGTCAGTGCTTTTGCGGAAATTCAAGCGGCCAGTGTAGACAGCTGGCAAGTTTTTCTGGAAAAGCTGCTGATTTTCTGGAAAAACTGGCCAGTCTAGACACAGCCCAGGGGAACAAATGCTACCACAGGTGAAAACACAACCTATAAATCCAGGCGCCCACACACGCTACATCAACAGACACATCCCTGCGCGCACCCTTACCCTGCGTGCTCACATCTGAATGAATACAAACAACATGCACTCCACACACACACATGCCAACGCTTACTGAACACAGGCCTGGAAAAATGGGAGCCGACACATGGGCCAATACATGTATCCGAATGCGGCCACATGACGGAACGCGCTCTTCCCCCACATGCACAAATGCCAGCTTGTACTGCTGCCTGCACCATGTACCCCATCCATTACCTGGGATGGAGCTACAGCCACGTACAACACGTCTACATGTGGCCCCATCTGCCTGAACTCTCTAATGTCTGACCTTATCTCAACTGATGCCCCCATCTCCTGCCTGGCAGACGGGATCCCGCCCACGGGCCGGTATTTGCCCACTGCTAGTATGAAGGGTACTGAAGCCTCTTTGTCTGCAACTACAGTGACAAAGCGCAAGGAGCTTAATAGGATATAAAGGTGCTTCTTAGTCATGACCAAACCAGGGAGAAGCCTCTCTCCTGCGCCCACGCGGCATGGAACAATCCCTGGATGTCCCTGCCTTCTCTGGGACAAGTTGTATGGCTCAGTATCTCCGGACATCACCTCTCAGGATATTAGAACATAAGAACGGCCGTACTGGGTCAGACCAAAGGTCTATCTAGCCCAGTAGCCTGTCTGTCGACCGTGGCCAGCACCAGGTGCCCCAGAGAGGGTGGACCGAAGACAATGATCAAGCGATTTGTCTCCTGCCATCCCTCTCCAGCCTCTGACAAACAGAGGCCAAGGCACCATTTCTATCCCCTGGCTAATAGCCTTTTATGGACCTAACCTCCATGAAATTATCTAGCTTCTCTTTAAACTCTATTATAGTCCTAGCCTTCACAGCCTCCTCTGGCAAGGAGTTCCACAGGTTGACTACACGCTGTGTGAAGAAGAACTTTCTTTCATTAGTGTTAAACCTGCTACCCATTAATTTCATTTGGTGTCCTCTAGTTCTTTTATTTAGGGAACTGTAACGTGGGAGCCCAGTCCTGCTCCCCGTCGTCTCAGGTTCCCCGGTAAGCCTCCGGGTGCCGGTCCTCCGCCACTGCGTGGTAGGGGGGTCCGGGCCCACCCTCTCTCCCGGACCCCAGCCCAGGGCCCTAAGGACGGGCGAGTGGCCACCAGCTCTGCTGTGGCGGTGCTTGTCCGAAGCGCCCCGGTCAGCCGAGTTCGCCTGCCCTGGGCTGCTTCCTACCCCCTCTCTATTGCCCCGAGACCCCCTCACGGGCTCATGCTACCCTCACCCCCTCTTCCTGTGTTGTGTCTATCTCTCCTCGCCCTCCTCCGCTAGTTCCTCCTTCCTCCGTCTCGTCCTCCCCCTCACCGTTCCTCCCCCGGCCTCCTCCGCGCTCCCTCCCTTGCTCCACCGGGCCTGTTTTTAAAAACCGCGCCGACGTCCGGCCCTGATGACGTCAGGCGCCGCGTCGGTTGGCTCCTCCCCCTCCCCGGC